AGCGTTACACCAAGATACTTTATGTTGCTTGTGGCTATTGTAAAGGGTGATGTTTCTCTGATTTCTTTCTCTGCCTCTTTGTCGTCTGAAAAAAATAGGGCTACTGATTTTTTTGAGTTTATCTTGTATCCTGCTAGTTTGCTGAAGGTGTTTATCAGCTGTAGGAGTTCCCTGGTAGAGTTTATTGGGTCCTTATGTAAACTATCATATCATCTGCAAATAGAGACAGTTTGACTTCTTCCTTTCCAATTTGGATGCCCTTGATCTCCTTTTGTTGTCTTATAGCATTAGCTAGAACTTTTAGTACGATATTGAAGAGATATGGAGAGAGAGAACAGCCTTGTCTTGTGCCTGATTTTAGAGGAATTGGCTTAAGTTTCTCTCCATTCAGTTTGATGTTGGCAGTTGGTTTGCTGTATATTGCTCTTATTATGTTTAGGTATGTTCCTGTTATCCCTGACCTCTCTAATACCTTTATCATGAAAGGGTGTTGAATTTTATCGAAGGCTTTTTCCGCATCTAGGGAGATAATCATATGGTTTTTCTTTTTCAGTTTGTTTATATGGTGGATCACGTTGATAGATTTTCGTATGTTAAACCATCCCTGCAATCCAGGTATGAAGCCTACTTGATCATGGTGGATGATTTCTCTGATGTATTTTTGAATTCGGTTTACCATTATTTTATTGAGTATTTTTGCATCGATGTTCATCAGGGATATTGGTCTGTAGTTTTCTTTCTTAGTTGTGTCTTTGTGAGGTTTGGGTACCAAAGTTATTGTGGCCTCATAAAAGAGTTTGGCAATAAACCTTCTGTTTCTATCTTGTGGAACAGTTTGAGGAGTAGTGGTATTAGTTCTTCCTTGAATGTCTGGTAGAATTCTGCACTGAATCCATCTGGCCCTGGACTTTTTTTCATTGGAAGGCTTTCGATGACTGCTTCTATTTCATTTCGGTTTAAGTTGTTTGTCTGTTCTTGATTTAACTTTGGTAAGTGATAGTTATCCAGAAACTTGTCCATTTCCTTTGAATTTTCAATTTTTGTGGAATACAGATTTTAGAAGTATGACCTGAAAATTGAATGGATTTCCTCTGTGTCTGTTGTTATGTTCCCCATTTCGTTTCTGATTTTGTTAATTTGCATGTTCTGTCTCTGCTTTTTCGTTAATTTGGATAAAGGTTTATCTATCTTGTTGATTTTCTCAAAAAACCAACTCTTTGTTGCATTGATTTTTTGTATTGTTTTCCTGGTTTCTATTTTGTTGATTTCAGCCCTCAAGGTGATTATTTCCTGGCGTCTGCTCCTGCGGGGTGAATTCGCTTCTCTCTGTTCTAAGGTTTTCAGTTGTGCTGTTAATTCATTTATGTGACTATCCTCTGTTTTCTTCATATGGGCACTTAGTGCAATGAACTTCCTTCGTAGCACTGCTTTCAAGGTGTCCCATAAGTTCGGGTATGTTGTATCCTCATTCTCGTTGAATATTAGAAAGTCTTTAATTTCTTTCTTTATTTCTTCTTTGACCCAGGAGTGGTGCAATTGCACATTGTTCAGTTTCCATGAGTTTGCAGGTTTTCTGCTATTTGTGTTGTTGTTGAATTCCAGTGGTGGTCCGATAAGATACAGGGGACTATTCTTATTCTCTTGTATCTGTTGAGGTTTGTTATGTCTCCTAGTATGTGGTCGATTTTAGCGAAGGTTCCATGTGGAGCAGAGAAGAAGGTATATTCTTTTGTCTTTGGATGGAATGTTCTATAGATGTCTGTTAGCCCCAGTTGAGACATAACTTCTGTTAATTCTTTTGTTTCTTTGTTGAGTTTCTCATTTGTGGTCCTGTCTAGTGTTGAGAGTGGTGTATTGAAGTCTCCCACTATAAGTGTGTGAGGTTTTATATGAGCTTTGAGTTTTAGTAGTGTTTCCTTTACGAATGTGGGTGACTTTGTATTAGGGGCATAGATGTTCAGAATTGAGACTTTGTGTTGATGGATTTCTCCTGAGATGAATATGAAATGACCGTCTTCATCTCTTTTGACTAGTTTTGGTTTGAAGTGTAGCTTGTTAGATATTAGGATAGCTACGCCTTCTTGCTTCTTATTTCCATTTGATTGGAAAATTTTTTCCCAACCCTTTACCCTGAGGTAATGTCTATCTTTGGAGCTAAGATGTGTTTCTTGTATGCAGCAGAAGGATGGATTCTGTCTTCGTATCCATTCTGTTAGCCTGTGTCTTTTTATAGGTGAGTTAAGACCATTAATGTTGAGGGTGAGTAAGGTCCATTGATTGTTGATGCTTGTTTGGTTTAGGTTTGTTGTTGGCAGTGGTATTGTGAATATATTTGTTCTGCTTTACCCTAGGTTTCTGGTGTAGTTGGATTATCTGTTGCCTACATTTTTGTGGGCGTAGTTACCTTCCTTGGGTTGGAATTTTCCTTCCAATACTTTCTGTAGGGCTGGATTTGTAGATACATATTGGGAAAATCTGGTTTTGTCATTGAATATCTTGTTCTCTCCATCTATATTTACTGAGAGTTTTGCTGGATATAGTAGCCTAGGCTGGCATCCGTGTTCTCTTAATACTTTCAGAACATCTATCCAGGACCTTCTGGCCTTGAGGGTTTCCATGGAGAAGTCAGGTGTAATTTTGATAGGTCTGCCTTTATATGTTACCTGTCCTTTTTCCTTCGCTGCTCTTAATATTCTTTCTTTATTCTGTATGCTATGTGTTTTGATTATTATATGTCGAGGGGTCTTTTTTCTTTGGTCCAGCCTATTTGGGGTTCGGTATGCTTCTTGTACTTTCATGGGCATGTCCTTCTTCAGATTTGGAAAGTTTTCCTCGATGATTTTGTTGAATATGTTTTCAGCACCTTTGAGCTGGGCTTCCTCACCTTCCTCTATGCCTATTATTCTTAGGTTTGGCCTTTTCATGGTGTCCCACATTTCCTGGATGTTGTGTGTTAAGGATTTGTTGGATTTATGGTTTTCTTTGGTCGATGAATCTATTTCTTCTAGTTTATCTTCTGTGCCTGAGATTCTCTCTTCCATCTCTTGAATCCTATTTGTTATGCTTGTGTCCGTGGTTTCCGATTTTTTACCCAGCTTTTCAATTTCCAGCTTTCCTTCCATTTGTGTTGCCTTTATTTTCTCAATTTCGGTTTCTAAGTATCTTGTGTAAGCCTACAAGCTATCTTCTGAGAAAGTAGATTTCAAACCTTTTATGTATTACTATCTATCTGAAATATAAGAGATATTATGGAAATTTTCTTATATCATATATAAATGACACATTAGAGTATATGTATATTCTTGTTAATGTTACATCAAAGAAGTCTCTTCACGTGAATCAAATTAATTTTGGTCATTCTTCAACTTTATGTGATTGTATTTTCCATGTGTCTAAAAGTCACATTTGTTATGCATTTTCAGATTTTCAGTAAAATACTGGCTGCGATTCTGATGTCTTAGAACAAGTCATTATGATTGAAAGGAACAAAATGTTACTTATACTTGGAGAATGAAAAAAAATGGACAAATGGTGGGAGACTTAATTCAGTAATCTTTTATCACCTTAAAATATTCAAGGACAGGAAATAGAGTTACTACTAAGGATAAATTTACATAAGGAACTGAAAAAAATATAAAGAACTCGATAGAAAATATTTCCATCCCTCTTTTTCTAGAAGCATATGATCACTTATATTTTCTTCCTCTATGTATGGTTCTGTTCTTTTCTTCTCTAAAGTTCGTTTGTTATAGAACTTCTCTAAGCATATAGCAGAATTAGCAAAAAGAATAAGATTGTCTACCCTCATTTTCACACAACCAGTAGGGAAAATTTTATCTGAATACCAATTCTAAATTTCTAATCTTATAGGGTTACTCTAATTTGAATCAAATGCTAGGTACATGCAATCTAAAGACTAGGTTGCATAAGACTGTTTTTGTACTTAGGAGTAGAAATTATTTCATAGGAACAAAGATAATGAACAAAACAATCCATAATGTTTTAGTCAGGAAGGTCATACAAAGCCTATCAAGCATAAGTTTGTAGCTATTCAAGTTGCTATTCTCTCTAGGGTAAATGCTTTAGTGTTTTCTGTTTTGTTTTTAGCCGAAAAGGCTATAACTTTGTGATTTATTTGTTTTTCCAGCCAATAACTACAACAGTCTTATCATATGGACCTCCCATACAATATACATCCCTTCCAAATCAAAGATTACCTGAGAGTTACTCGTCTTCACAAAGAGTTGACACTCCAAGGTAACTCCCACTAATAATCAGATCTGTCTATATTCAATTTTCACCTAGACTTGAATGTAAAAATACTCTATTTTTAATTTATTGTACATTTTAAATGTGATACTTGTTCCCTAAATGTTAATATATTGACTAGATAGTGACAAGAAAATTACATATTGAGAAAGAAGTATCATACTCAGAAAATAGTTAATGTAAGGGAAGATGCAAATAGTTAATGTCAGAGTGTACAATAAACTCACTAATTTTTTAAAGCTTAATGATGTCTTTTGCTTTGTACAGTCAAAAAATATGACTACATGCTCCATAGTATTTTCTTTCAGAATAATTTCAATAGAGAAAATGTCTTAGTACCAAGTTATTTAAACATGTATTTATGTTTGTTTTTCTTGAAGTGATGAAGGAGCAGTTGTACTGGAACATGATAAAGGAAGCAAATCTGAAACAGAAATTTCTGATACAAATGCATCTGAAACTTTGGGGGGTTCTTTTTACTATAAAACTTTCCAAGACCTAACAATTATTGAAAGTGATACTCCTCTTATGGACTCTGGTTCTGAAAGATGTATAATTGATTCTGACTCTGACAGAGGTGTTGTGTCAGATTTTGAGGTAGAACAGTCTTCTGACTCAGAAAAGTCTCCTAGGCATTCAGATTCTAGAAAATGCCTGTTAAAAGCAGAAAATGATCAAATGGATTCAGTCTCTGTTGAAGACATGAATAAGACAGGGCAACCACTGGTGAGAATTGAACAGTGTCAGATGGAATCTGTATCTCTGGAACATTGGGTGACCTCAGGCTCAGAAATGTTCCTGGAATATTCTGACTCTGAAAGAGAGTCTGACTCTGATAATGAAATGAAGAAAGAAGAAAAACGTCAAATGGCTTCAGATTCTATAAAACGTCTAATGACATCTGAAAAAACAATGATGGAGACTGAAAATTTCTGGAAGATTCCTGATTCTGAGAGTATTGCAGTGGACTCAAGCATAGAAAAAGGTAGAACATCAATATCTAAGCTACATCTGATACAGATGGAAAAAATAGAAAAGCAAAGATCTAAGAGATATATGGAGGACTCTGACTCTGAAACAAGTGAGATGGACTCAGATTCAGAAAGACATGAGCTAGCCTCAGCAGCTGTGAAATGTTTCATGGATACAAAAACATTTCATCTGAGCACTGCTAGTAACAGGTTCTCAAAGGATTCTTGGTCTGAACGAAGAACAGTGAACTCAGACTCTGAAAGCCCTGTGATGTCCTCTGATTCTGTGAAGCACTTGAAGAAGGCCGAAACATGTAAAAGTACTTGTAACTTGGAAAGACTGAAGGTGGCTCAGAAAACTGAGTCTCTGCAGGATTGGTTGGATGCCAAAAGAAAACAGTTAGATTCTGATCATAGTGGACACTGGGATAACTCTGGAAAATATCAGTTTAAGTCTATAGTACCTCAAGATAGCTTTGGAAAATGTCAGGGTGACCTTCAAACATTTCAGAGTATCACTGAAAAAGATCAAGTAGACTCCAGTTCTGAAGAATATCAGAAAAAAAACGGAAATGAAAGAAATCAAAATGAACCTGAAAGTAAAAGGACAGAGAAGGGTTTTGACAATGAGGGGTTTCAAATGGTTAAGGAAAAAGAAGGACATCTCATGGAGTCTGACCGTCATGATTCAGAAAATGAAGCACACCGGCTTGGTGCTCGTAGAAAGGATAATCGTCCTCCAGGTAAGCTAAAATGTATGGGGCCTTTGAAAATATCTTATGAATTTTATTAATAACATCATAACAGTTCCAAAAATGTCAGTAACTGATATATTTGGGGCTGAAGTCACTTAAGAAAACTCAAAAGAAATTCAGAAACTGAACATCTTCATACCAGATTATTATTTCACTTTCAAAATTGGGAATATCATCTTACTTTAGGTAAAATTTTATCTCTTCTATTTTAAAAGGGGGAAGGTTAAAAATGGTTATGAAAACAATGTATATTCTGGCCTAAGAACACAATGTTAAATTTAGCTCCCATCATTCTGAAATAAGTAAAAGGACATTTTTCCTATTTAGTTATTGTAAAGAGATTTAAGTATAGAAGCCTAAGTACATCAGCATTTAAATTACCTTTTTTCATGTCATAATGGTTTTTCTCAAGTTCCATAATTTTCAATGAATAGTTGCATTTATCTGTTAATTGTGTTTATTTTATCATAGTACATCATGACCTCTTTGGGGGGAAATGACCCTTTCACAGGGATCACATATCAGATATCCTGCATATCAGCCATTTACATTATAATTTATAACAGTCACATTTCATTCATGAAGTAATAACAGAAATAATTTTATGGTTTATGGTCACCACAACATGAGGAACTGCATTAAAGGAATTAGGAAGATTGAGAACTGCTACCCTAGAGAATTTGATTGACACTTAAGAGCAAATAAATATGCTTTATATAGAACTGCTATGAACTATTTTAAATATTATACGTGTATTGAGTCAGTGGCACTAGTGTATAAAGTTCACAGATTTTACATATGCAAATGTATCAGGTCTTTCCAATACTAGAAAGTAGGTTACTATTATCATCTTTATTTTACAAATGAAGAAACTGAGGTGCAAATAAGTAACCAAAATAGCACAAAAAGTAATAGGGTATGAGCTCATGCTCCAGTGTTTATGTTGCTGACCATGAAGATACACTATTAGACAACTCTAAGAGGTTATTTCTCACTGAGAACCATGAAAAGAAATAAGTTCAGGTTGTTTGTCTGGTACTTTGAACTTAGTGTTATCTGAATATAGTGTCTTAGTTTACAAGCATAGTAATGATACATGTATTTTAATAATTTTATCCTGGATTTTCTAATTTAGAAAAAAAACAATTGTAAAAAATTGAATGTGGTAGCCCATGCATTTAATCCTAGTGCTGGGGTGGCAGATGTTAACATTCCTAAGATTCAATGGCCGGCCAGCCAACATTGGCTAATAAGACAGCTCAAGTTCCCACTGAGAGATTTTATTAAAAAAAAATCAGAACAAAACTGAAAAACTCTGAGGAAAGATACCTGATATTGATCTCTGACCTTCACCTTCATGCATAAATACACAAAGGTATGTTTTCCTCCACATAAATGTACACACATAGGTATGTATTAGCACTCATGAGTGTGCACAAAAAAAACAGTAATGTTAATATAGTATATATGTGCATACTACAAACATTGAGAACTAACGCTCAAGTAGATATCTTCCCTAAAAGGCCAGTACTAAAGTTCAATCAGACTTCTTTCATAAATGCCCACATAGATAATTATTTACCAAGCTAGAATACAGAAACTCCTTGTCTAGTATTTTCTCAAATATATCTGTGAATTTAGTTTATAACTGTGTACCTTAGTTAGGGTGACTAATGCTATGACAAAAGATCATGACCAAGGCAAATTATAAAATGGAACATTTAATGGGGATTTACTTAACAGTTTCAGGAAGTTAATCCGTTATCATGGTGGGAAGCATGGCCACAGGCAGACAGACATGTTGCTTGATCAGTACATAAGAACTCAGATCTGATCCAAAGTTTACACATAGATGGGGACAGAAAAACTGGCCTGGCGTGGGCTTTTGAAATCTCAAAGGCCACCTGCATTAACACATATCCTCCAAAAAGGTCAAACTTACTCTAACAAGACCACGAATCATAATCCTTCTCAAACATTTCTTCTAACTGGAGACCAAGTATTAAAGCATGAGCCTGTGGAGGCCATTCACATCCAAACCACCTCACTAAGAAAATATTATTTGCACTGAAACTAATAGTTAAGTATATTTTCCCTTAATATTTAAATTTGAATGGAATTATCAAATATCATAATAACCCACATAAAGCATGCATTGGTATATGCATAATCAGAAGAAACACTTTGAAATAATTGGACTAAATTTTACTAAGTGTTGTTATTATGTAAATCATATTAACAATGATATACCAATAGCTTTTAAAATATTATGAAAGTTGGCATTAAAATATATGATTACAGTTAGGAAATGTGACATATTATTAATGTCCTCTCTAAACACAATCATTTCTCAGTATGCTTCCTGCTTTGTTTCACACATAAACAACTTAGTCTACAAAGTCTCAAGTAAAACTATCAACCCTTATTGTCTAGAAACCTATATAAATTTTGGAGTTTGAGAAACATATCCTAGGATTTTACAGATACCATGCAGTATTTTACTGCTTGTTGCCAGATAAATGTTTAATCACAATTTATTATTGCTCAGCTTATTCTGATAATAATAGACCTTTCAGTTTACTTGTTTGGAAAGAACGATGCCCAAATTCCCAAATATTGTGTATAAATGTTTGTTTTCATTTAATTGAACTTTGTTATATAAAATAAAATAATAAAATAAAAAAATCAAAAAGATATTAAAGAAGTAAAAAAATATTGAGAAAAGATTCCTAATGATATTTGTATATACATATAGATCGATTCCTTAGTGCCTAGCCTCTAACTGTATTCCTCCTTCACCATCCCCATGCCTGGGTTTGTCTCAACTTTTTAAGGAAGTTTTAAATGAAAACCTTAACTATGTACAAATAATTGTTTAAAACTAAAAAAAAAAAAAAAAAAAAAAAAAGATACCATGCACTTGAGATCCACAGCCCAGCCAGACACTGGGTCCAATTCCTGAAGTTCAGTCTAAGAAAGAGGAGAGATTATATGATTAAGAGGGGTCAAGATCATGACAGGGAATTCCACAGGAACAGCTGATCTGAGCTCCTGGAGCTCAGGACTCTAAACCAACAGCTATAGAACATTCATGGGAATGACCTAGTCCCTCTGCATGTGGATAACAGTTGTATAGCTTGGTTTGTTTGTGGGGACTCTAGAAGTAGGACCAGGATCTGCCCCTGATGCATGAGCTGACATTTTGGAGCCCATTCTCTATTGTGGCATGCCTTGCTCAGCCTTGATACAGGCAGGAGGAGCTTGGTTCTGTCACAATTTGATATGCTATGCATAGGAGGCCTTATCCTTTCTGAGGAGTAGATTGGGTAGCAAGGAATGAGGTGAGGAAATGGGTGGAGAGGAGGGAGGGGAAACTGTAGTTGGTATGTAAAATAAAGTATTTAAAATTAAAGAAAAGTTTTGGAGGAGTACCTGGGATTCCTCACTCATGTGTACATATTATATATTAAAATATAAATTGATACTCTGAATACTATTTTTATACCTACAATTAAAATTTGTAAGTATAAAGTGTTTTTACAAACTTATATGCCTTCTTTAACAAAATTTCTGCTGAAAAATTTACTCAGTTTTGTTATATTGTATCTAATTTTCCCCTTTTTATTAATAAATAAGATGTTTATAATAAAGATAAAAACCTGCTCTTTGTGCTGTACCTCTGCCCTACATTTCCAAATTAGCAATAAAACAAAGGAATCCTTCATTATGTTTTAACACTAATTAGATGTAAGAAAAAGAGTTAGTTATATCCCCAACTCCCAAAATGAAGTCACTTTCATTCTGTGACTAAGCAAACTAAGTAGATGACACTGTTTAGCCAACTAGTCACTCTATTATTATGAACTTGCTGCAATGTTTTTAAAGCTGACTATATTTTTACTTGTTACATAAAGTTATACATGCCATAACATTTTAAACTTCATTTTTCTGCTTTGAGGTAGCATTGCCTTAATGAAAGAAACATAGCCAATAAAGGTGTGTGTGTGTGTGTGTGTGTGTGTGTGTGTTACATATAGAGAACATTTAAATTCATACCATATATGTGGCAAGATAAAAGAACATTGAGAAAGTGAATGAGAATAGACCTGAAGGAAATTGGTAACATCTGAGGATGAGTATTCCAGAAAAACAAAAACAAAAACAAAACAAAAAACGGCAAATACAAAACCCATAGAGTAGGAATATAACTGTTGTTCATTATAGCCAAAATGTTGAGACTGCTCACATACTCAGCAAATAATTAGTGGATAATTTAAATGTTGCATATCTACACAATGGACGTTATTTAGCAATACAAAAAATGGAGTGTTCATTTTTGTTATGTCATAGGTAAACCTGGAAGACATTATTCTGAGTACAAGCAACTAATCAGAAAGAAGCACATGTTGCACCTTTCCATGTATATAAAATGCCCTATAATATAAATCCTTAGAGGCAGAACATATCTTAGTGGTTCCTTACGACTGTGGTAGAAGAGACTAGAAGGTTATGACTAAATGGTATATGGCATTTATTTAAACACTTCATTTTTAACATGGTTTTAGTATGCTTTATGAAATTTGGGAATAAGAGTATCATTACAAATAAGTATATCAAATACAATTTTTATTGTGGAATTTTGTACTAAACATTCTTTTCAATAATATCATTTTATTAGTAATTGGAAAATAACTGAGTCTGTTTAATATGATTCTAGGTTTTTGGAGGCCTATTACCCTTACTCCAAAGCTTGGCCAGGAAAAGAAAACTAAAGAACATACATATGTACAGCAAAAAGATAACAGAGGTGAGTATATTCAGTAGAAGTTATCTAGAATTTAATCAAGTTATTTGTTAATATTTGGGAAAATAAATTCAGACTCTGAAGTGTTAGAGTGGTTACAAGATAATATAATACATAATTCTATGATTTACTACAATGTAAAAGCAGTACAACAAGGGCGCATGAAGTAAGGTCTAACTGTATTATGTATATTTATATACATAATTAATGAAGGAACAGTTTTTGGCTACTTGCGTGGTGTTTTCCTGAAATGGTGGCGAGATTCCCAATACCTACAATGTATTTTTAATGGTTTAGGATATAATTCAACCAATAAAGTATGAAACCCAGTGATTTCTAATATGTTCCTAGATATACACAGCTATCAACTCTTTTAGAATATTTAGTACAATGACAACTCTGCAAACACTATGTATCTTCCCTCAGAAACAATAATCAAATTCTGTCATTTTTTTCCTTTGTCAGTACATTCATTTAATTAGTATAATTACTTCAAGTTTACTCCATTTTAGTGTGTATTTTACTTTTTATGACTGAACAATTAGGAATTATCATATTTTATATATAGACCTGTAAATTGATGGGTGTATTCATTCAAGCTCAGATACAATTAATAAGGTTATTCTGTTTTCCAAAGATTCTATGAGGGCATGTGTTTTATTTCTTGCCAGTAATATGTCTAGAAGTGAAATTACATCACAGTTCATTAATTGTTGCTTAACTAACTGTCCCAAAGTTATATATTGTTTCCAAAATTAGTGTGTACATACAAATAACATTATGCTGACTGAGCATGTTGTATTTATCACATACACATGCACACACACACACACACACACACATGCACAAACACATGTACACACATGTATTTAACAACAGTTTAAGAATAAAGAGGCCATAAATTTAAAAAAGAACAAGGAGTACATGGAAGGATTTGTAGGAAAGAAGGAAATTATGTAAATATAATCACCCAAAATCATTTATTTAAACTTCCTTTTTTATATATTGTTTGTGTTTTCTTTTCACATATTCATTTCTCCGTACCTTCATATTTTCCGTCTGCCCTTGCAACTTCCCCACAAAAAAAATATAATCAAATTTAGGCAAAGAAAGTAAAAATTAATCTCATCTTGGAAAGTGTAATGTGACACAGTGAGTCACACAGTAAACACTTTTACCCATACATCTTTACTTGCAAGTGTTCATTGCAAAGAGTCTTTGGTCTGATTTGAGGCCTCACTTGGATTCCTCTTGGATATCCTGTTGTCTCTCTTTGTCATGGAGATACTACACTTTTGGTTGTGCAGGACCAGCCTCCTCATGTGTTCTAGAACATCATAGTTGGAGAGGTAGGTAGGGGGACATTGCCCCCCTTTGCCTCATACCCTTCTCTGCCTACTATACACAAGAGAGCTTCCTCCTTACCGGTTGCAGCACTCAGGAAACCAGGCACTGCTCTTCACCTGGACAGTATAGTAGAGCTGACCCTCTTGGCAAAGGCACATGTGAGCTGACCCTGAGGGTGTGAGAGTGAAATAGCTGGCCATACTCCCTTCATCTGCTATATGATGGTGTGTTCAGGGTGAGATGCCCTCTACCATAACTTTCTGCCTGTAACAGGTGGGAGAACTGGCCCTGCCCTTCATCAGGTCTAGCACTTGGGAGAGTGGCCCCTACACCTTGCCTGGGCAATACAGTAGAGTTGGCCCTAAAGGTATGCATGTGGGAGAGCCAACACTGAGGATATGAAAGCAGAACTGACCCTGCCCTTTGATCATTGCTGCAAGGGATGAACTGACCAGAGCAATTCTGGAGAGCTTACCCAGGTGATGAGTCCAAGAGAGAGCTTCTAGGCTGATCAACCCAGCAACTACCCAGGCCCAGGGTAATAAGTTGGCCCACTCCAAAAAACTATTTTTTTTTAAAAAAAAACAATGTATATACATTATTTATATGACTTCATAATACTTTTTTTCTTTTGTGTGGAGTATATTTTTCTTGACATCAAAATGCAATTTAAATTTGGTAAAATATTTTGATATATTTATTTTCATATCTATAATCAATACCAGTTTTCCTTTTTGTGCCTTATAATTTGGATCTTGTACATAATAATACTTTTTCAATTTCAAGATTATCAAGTTTTCCATCATTTTTTTTCTAAGAGCTTCATAGGTTTGGATGTTAACATTTAACTGATTAGTATATTTTGTGATTTTCTTTTGTATAGTGTGATGTAAGGGAACTTTTCATTCTTTTTCAAGTAGCTGTACCTTATCCCATTATCAATTGTTAATAAGATTATTATTATTATTTTCTGCATGGAATGTTCTTGACACCTATGTAAAAATCAGCTTAAATTGATCAATAATTTTATGTCTAGATTGTAATTTTACCATTGATTTACCTGCTTATCATTGTAACATTACCACATATCATTTCAAAATAATTTCTGCTGTATGGGCATTTTACTAGCCCAGAATGACCCTCTGTGAACCACACTCAGAGTAACTGCCATGATACTCTATGATGAAATTTTGTCAGCAGAGTACTAAGAAATTTGGAGGGGGTAAATTAGGACTTCATAGTACTAAGTGAGGTGAAATCTTGCTGAGCACTAGAATAGTGGATCTAAGGAGTGTGCCAGATATCGAAAAGGATTATCTAGGGACAGAGACATCATTCACAATGAACTCCTAATGACCACATTATGGGATTCTGCCATTGGAGTAGTGCCCACAGACTGGCCCAGAATCTGTAAACTGATCTTTTAAAGGGAGACACACAAAAGAGAACAGGGCTACTTATGGCAGTGTAATTCATAGGAGTGACCCAAGCTTCTTCAAGACATATAAAAGAACATTGAGAAACTGAGTCTGAAACCAGCAACTTTTAATATCCTCTATCCTCATCCTGAGCAGTCTCCCTTTCACATCTATTTCCCCATATTTAATATCCAGTGTTAGTTTATCACACCAACTTGCTTCTCCTGTAGCTTTGCACTATATCATTTCCTTCTTTACTCTTTTATAGTTTTGCACCCCCCCAAAAAAAAAGAAAAAGGAAAACGAAAAACCACCATGGACTTGAACGGTCAGTAGGTCCTCAACCTCCTGAGGAATAAGACTCTTTATGTTGTCAAGTCATATATCTATCATCACACCAGTTTCTTTTCTGTCTACTTTTAAGCCCAAACTGTCCCAGCTATCTCCTCTTTAATTTTACATTTTATTGACACTTGAATTTATATTACCCTCCTCAAAATTCATGGATTTTTGTCTTTTCAGAGTGTCTCCAAGATTGCATAAATTCTGTTCACAGACATTTGTTAATTTATCTTATCTTTGATTGAGTATTCCAATTCCCCTAACTTGTCTTCATGCTCTGATATACTATCTTTTCGCTAATCTCATTACATGAGGTTTGTACTAAGCTTCTGTTTGATTTCTTAAATTTTCCATTTCCAGCATTTTACTTTGATATTATTCAGTAACTCTTCATTGAACATCACTTTTCCTATCCTTTATTGAATTCCCTTATTTCATTAAGCCGTTTTGCCTGTGCTGTCTTATAATTTTTTGGTGGATTTGTATCCTCTTTTCTTTGTATAATTTCTAAGTTGGTTTTATAATATTCCTGTACCACTAACTAGGAAAAAAACAGTGCCTGGCTAGGATATAGGCCCTAATACTATTAGTATGCTAAATTGATATGGTATTAAACTGTCCCGTATGTTATTATCTTTGTACCCATTGACTAATGAATCTCTTAGCCCCTCAGAGTAACTTCTTTTTTTTCAGTAGATGACAATACAAAAACTCACAACCCATTAATATGCAGAGAATAAGAGACTGTGGCATGCTCATCTCTAAATGGGATTTTATGTCATTACAGAAGAAGGTCTGAAAAAATATATAAGCCAAAAGGAGTGGCTATCTATAACACAACCATATATGCCTGACACAAGAGCACAGTCATACATATGAACTCAGAATAGCTAGGGCTATACATTATGAAAGGCTTCCCATGCTCCAGTACATGGATCCACAGATACACACATATAGTTATAACTAAGTGGACTCAGAGGGTATTAAATTTAAAAGAGAAATAAAGCACATGAAGTTGGGAGAGGAAGCTGGAGGGTATAGAAGATGGTTTGAAAGCGAGGGAATGAAGAGTAGATTATATTCAAAATTATATGCATATATGAATATTGAATTTTTGTGAGTCTAGTGTCTTACATGTAACTTATCTTTAATCCTAACTAAGGAAAACTATAACCATAACTATCTGTCTTCAACTCCATCAAAGACCACAGAAGGATAGTATATAAACTCTAGAAATGACAGAGACATCTTGGTACCTGATTAGTCATCTGAAGTTCTTCTGTAATGTTCCATCTTCAGCCTATAGACCATAGTGTGTCTGGCAGACTCGTCAGCAAAGCAGGAAACTTTAAACTGTCTTCTTGTATTGGCAGTTTGTCAGTCAATTTTCTCTGTGTCCTGCAGAATGTCTGGCAGACTCTTCCATGAAGCAGGAACTCTGTAGCAATGTCCATCTTGAATCAGCAGTCACTTTCCTGTGGGTCCTGCATGTCCACTTTATACAGCATAAAGTCAAACAGTCCAGACAAGAGCAGTACCTTGTCCAAATGGCTAGTCTTGCCATATTGGAAGTAAGGTTCATAACGTGTTTCTTCCTTTCTGAGGCAGGTGGTGTTGCCAGGAGCATTTTTATGTCTCACTGTCAAGAAAAACCCTAAACCATTTTAAATGCCATATGCTGTAGGTCTTTGAAAGTTTTGAAGAATGCCTATCTATCTCAAACACATCTCTGTGTATCTTGAAAAACTTAACTAACTTAACTCTAAGCTTTGACTCTTATAGGTAATTATCTATAATCTGTACTACATTATACATTACATTTCTAAATGAGGTATATAAACACAATACCTAAACAAAAGGAGAAATATACATATCACAAAATTGACCTTAACATGT